TGATCCTGTCTCAAATGATAGGAACCTTCTCATATGTGACTTGAATTGATTCGGGTCCCACCAATTGTCTATCTCGTACTACCTCCCAACAAATAGGGGATCTGCACTTCTTGCCATACAGGGCTTCATAAGGCGCCATGCTTATGCTTGCTTGATAGCTATTATTATAGGCAAACTCAATTAATGGTAAGTGCACTTCCCAATGTCCTCCAAAATCCAGTACACACATCCGAAGCATGTCCTCCAAAGTTTGATAATCCTTTCAGATTGTCCGCCGGTCTGAGGATGGAAAGCCATACTAAAGTCAAGCCAGGTCCCCAAAGCTCTCTGCAATGACTGCCAGAATCTAGAAGTGAACTGTGTTCCCTTGTTAGAAATGATATATATCGGAATCCCATGAAAATGTAATATCTCCTTAATGTACAACCTCACCAACCTGTCAGCATTATAAGAGGATCTCACTGGCAGAAAATGAGCTATCTTGGTAAGTCGATCCACTGTCACCCAAACTGAATCATAGCCTCCGGGTGTTTTTGGTAGTCCTACCATAAAGTCCATAGTAATTCATTCCCATTTCATTCTGGTATCAGTAGTTGTTGCAGCAACCCACAAGGTCTTTGATGCTCTGCTTTTACTAGTTGATAAGCAAGACATTTCGACACAAATTCCGCCACATCTTTCTTCATTGCAGTCCACCAATAATTATCTTTCAAATCCTGATACATCTTAGTAGTACCGGATGCACATTATAAGCGGCATATTGAGCTTCGTCTAAAATCTCCTTTCTAAGGTTATCAACATCGGGTACACAGAGGCAAGTACCATTTCGGAATACCCCTTTATCATCTATCACTAAGTTCCCTGACCCACCAGTAGTTACTTCTTGCATGATTCTTTGTAATTGCGGGTCTCTATCTTGTGCAGCTTTGATTCTATCAAACAACATTGGTCTTATTCTGAAATGAGCCAATAAACAATCTGAAGCAGATATTTCTATTTCAAGGCCTTCATCAAGCATTTCATCCAATTCTCGAATTAACAGTCTTCTTTTCGCTAAGATATGAGTTAAACTTCCCAAAGATGAGCATCGACCAATACATTAGCTTTCCCAGCATGATACTGAATGGTACAATCATAATCCTTAAGGAAATCTATCCAGCGCCTCTGTCTCAAATTTAGATCTCTCTTATCAAAAATATACTTTAAACTTTTATGATCAGTAAAGATCTCACAGGATACACCATATAAGTAGTGTCTCTATATCTTCAATGCAAAAATGATTGCTGCCATTTCCAAATCGTGAGTGGGATAATTTTGCTCATGCTTCTTCCTCCCTCAGATGGGCAAGTACCATTTCGGGGGGGAAAAGTACCGCAAGCGTGATTATCATTTAGCGTATGCGACCTTTAAAGATTCTCCGTGCCCCACTGGAGGGGACGCATTGTTAGTTACCACTTTTCAGTGGTGATAACATTGTTCTTTGTACATAGTTGCGGGTTCTTCTCATGCGCGTGTGGGGAGGCCCCCGCATTGTGGCCACGCTTGGAGATTATCTACCTCTCATTACCTAGGAGCCGATTGGTCTTATTTGCTTGACGAGCTGACAAGCCCAAGTTATGCAAGCTAGATCTTCAAAGGCAGAGATATTCATAAACCTTCAAGGCCTTCATCAAGGGCATTTCGCATTCTTTGCGCTCTGAAGTTCTCGAGGCTTGCACTTGCCGCAATAGTAACACCTCATGTCTCTCTCTCTCTTGGACAATACCATGCATGTTGTATGGCAGCGGGTTAAATCTGGGGCCCGCCCAACATGGGCGGGCATGCAGCACTCGGACCAAAGTACATCTTCAGGATAAGCCCTTTCCCCCCAGCATGATGTGAGGCTGGCAGCATCGGTAGCAGGATCCCATAATCCCTGTAAGGAATCTATCCAGCGCCTCTGTCTCAAATTTTAGATCTCTCTTATCAAAAATATACCCTATGCGAATTAAAACCTCCAACTTGGGCGTTGTCGGGTCGGCGCCTTTGCAGATGCATGCCACGGCGTAAGGCATCTCTCCACAGGATACCCGACATATAAGTACGTGCGCTAGCGTCGTCTTTTAAACCTACTAATTTCTGGGTTCCAAGTGTGAGCGTAGATGCAACAAGCTGATTTGCGCTGCGCCCGACTTCTGCCCCAGGCCCAGAAAAGTCGTAAATCCGGCCAAGCTTGGTGCGGGCGAGTGCTCGCACATTTTGTCCAGGCCCTCCCATTGGCTCTTTTAGCCCTTTACTGTGCTAAGCAGGACGCTCACGGCGGGCACTAACTAACGGGGCCGACCCATCTTGCAATTCGGGTCAAAACGGAACAAAACAACAACCGTCCCACTCTGCGATGCAATCACAAAACACAACATACCCTTCATTGCCTGATGGTAAGGCTAACACCGGAAGTAGTGGTTTCAAACCACTTCTTGAGTCTCTGAAAACTAGCTTTCACAAAGAAATCAGACCATATAAAATTTTGGCGTTTCTTCTGGTTAATCTTGTTAATGGAAGCTGCTATCTTTGGAGAAAGATCCTTTGCTACATCAAATCACCCGACGTCGTGCGAACAAAGTGGAATCGCGGACGATTTTTCGGATAGGTAAAAGGCGGACTCCACTCCGGCCTTATTTATTGGTATAAGTATGACCTGAGTCCTCTCGACCACTAACTAGGACAAGCCTTAGACTCACATATCTTTTCGATTGTGACACATAGTGGTCAGTTATAATAGCCCAGTTTGGTATCCATCGCATTTTCTGGCTCTCAACTGTCCTCTTAGGGTACTAACAAATTGCACTGTAGCTAGATTTCTGTCCACTTAAGGGACATGATTCCCTGCTCCATCCAGCCCTTTAGTCATTTTTTTCGCTAAGAAATTCACACTTTCTTAAGCCTACAATATGTCTAGTACAAAAGTTTTCCTAAGCCATTAGTCACTGGGCGTGTCCGAATTTTTCGGGTAAACTCCACATTCCGCAAGGTCGTGCGGATATGGTTAACATCTGTTTTGGATTAGGTGAACGGACCGGGGGATTGCTCCCTCAGAGTTGTGTAGCAAAATCCCTCAAGAATGGGGACGAATCGGGGTATGTGTGTCGACCAATGTCAGGGTTCTGGCATTAGTAAAATACTTCATAGGTGGATCTGGCAGCAAGGACCCACTCTGCCCACATACAATACAACTCCGCTGCCGAGGCTCTCGATTTAGAACAGTCGGTGACAAATCACAAATTTACTTTGATCTCGCGTATACGGAAGCCCGATGGGATTAGAAACACTGGTTAGAGACAATCAAATGCGGCAGGCAGCGCGTCCGCGGCTGGACGAGTTCCGCCGCCTCAGCGGGAGCATTGGTCACAGGATACACCATATAAGTAGTGTCTCTATATCTTCAATGCAAAAATGATTGCTGCCATTTCCAAATCGTGAGTGGGATAATTTTGCTCATGCTTCTTCAACTGTCTAGAAGCATACGCACTAACCCGACCATGTTGCATCAAGACACAACCCAACCCCACTCTGGATGCATCACAAAACACAACATACCCTTCATTGCCTGATGGTAAGGCTAACACCGGAGTAGTGGTCAAACACTTCTTGAGTCTCTGAAAACTAGCTTCACAAGAATCAGACCATATAAATTTGGCGTTCTTCTGGGTTAATCTTGTTAATGGAGCTGCTATCTTGGAAAAGTCTTGCACAAAACGGCGGTAATAGCCAGCTAAACCTAGAAAGCTACAAACTTCTGTGACCGTGGTCAGTTTAAGCCAGTTGACAACTGCTTCAACTTTCTTAGGGTCAACCACGATTCTGTCCTTAGACACCACATATCCTAAGAAATTCACACTTTCTAGCCAAAATTCGCATTTAGAAAACTTGGCATATAACCGATGCTCCCTCAGAGTTTGTAGCAAAATCCTCAGATGGTGTATGTGTTCCGCTTCAGTTCTGGAATAAACTAGAATGTCATCTATGAACACGATCACAAATTGGTCTAAGTAAGCTTGAACACGAGATTCATCAAGTCCATGGAAGCCGCTAGAGCATTGGTTCGATCCAAATCGTGATTTTGTGGTTTTCGATTTTCCAATTGGTTTTCATTGGGTTTCAATTAAAATGGGGTTGATTCAACTATTTAAATTATATATATATAACTGGTTAAATAAATTCGTAGGGTGTTAATTTATTAAAAATTTTAAATGAAAAATTTTGAAAATAAAAATTTGGATTGTTTCAGCAATACTATCACTATAGCCAAAATGATTACCATTATTAATTCAGATCTTCTCGTTTCTTTTCTTTTACCTACCAATAAAAAAAATTTATTATTATTTTTCATTATAGTTGTATATAGATATTGATTTGAGATTGAGGGTAAGGGTTGGGGATTGAGTGATAACTTTATTTTCTTTTTAAGCACCTATCAGAGTTTTAAGAATCTGTATTTATAAATTAAGGACTGAAGGATTATGTATAAGAATTGGATTGAATTTTATTTTGAGACCACTTCATTATATAAAAATAGAATCAAGTATATAAGAAATAACATTGCAAGTGGCTTATAAGGTAAAGTCTAATACAAATTAACTAATTGTATTTATTTTAATCTAAATAAAAACTTATGCTTTAATATTATATAGATAAAAAATTAAAAGAATATAAAATACGAAAATATAATGAGCATCGTGAACAACACACGTCATAAAAAGGACTAGCAAATTCATAAAAATCGGAAAAGGACTATACGGTTAGAAAGGTTAGAAGGGTTTAAAAGTGGAAAACTGAGTAATGTATTTTTGAAAATGTAGGGAGGAAATAGTTAATTTGACCAAAATTGAGGACTAAATAATAATTATTCTTTTATTTTATCGACCAAAAAAAAGAGGGGTTGATGCTAGTCTAGTACAGAAAACACTTATCCAAGCAACCAAACGGAGCCTGGGTCACCTATTAGTTCTAGTGTTTCCAACCAACCAACCAACCAACCAACAAAACCCTAAAGCCCCTTCTTGAATTGCTGCTGCCTACTGATACGTATAAACCCTTCAAAGCCTTCACGGCAAAACCGCAAAAACCTGCACGAGAAAGCGAAAACACCAAAATGGCGAAGTCAATGAGATCGAAGAGAGAGAAGCGGCTAAGAGCCATAAGGAGAGATTTGGTAGAGCCCTTTTACGACAAGAAAGACGAAGCCAAGCTCGCCGCCCAAGAAGCTGCTCTTGCTGCCCCTAAACTACCCGTTAAACCTTCTCCTTTCGCTGCTGCTTCTTCGTCGGCTATGGACATGACCACTACAACTACAGCATCAAATACTAACATGGGTATGTCGATTCAATCTTTGGTTATTCATTTTATGCTCGATAATTATATTAATATAGCCCATTTGCTTAATTTTGATAATTAATTAGGTTTTCCTTTTTTTTTGTCTTTTGTTTTCGTTAATTGGTTGTATGCTTAAATCATCTGTTGTATCTTTCAAGATTTTCAATATTAGTTAAGGTGATTGAATAGTTTGGGTACTGATTCAATTGGTTTCATTCATTTGGTTTTTCCCAAATAACATCAATAAATAAATGTTGTTAATAGAAAATTCGTACTTCAAGTATTTTAGACTTAGGTTAGCGGAAGCATGTATTATAGCTGGGCAAAGTCCAGGTTCGAGTCCCCTGAAAAAGAAAATTACTTCTATTGTTGTCCTTTTTCTTTCTTTTCGTTTTTTCCAAATGAAATTTAAGCCACATTCTATGTGACCCCGAAATAGATATTCCATATCTTTATAGTGATGATGTACATGTACTGAATTGCCTGATATGAGTGTTGTAACTGTTGTGAGTATAGAGAGCTCAATGTTTCTTTGGCTCTTGTACAGATGTGGAAATGGATGATGACAGTCAAAAGAAGAATTTTTTGAAGCCCATCGGTAAGAAGCTAAAAAAGAAATTAAAGTTGGCAAGAAACAAGCGTCGTGGTCAAGGGAAGATCAAGAGGAAATATGTTTAACACCATAAATTTATGGTAAAGATGATTCATGTTTTAGTGGTGAAGCGATAGTTGTATGTTTGAGACTATTATGTTACATTTTGATGTTTTAATATCTTAATGATACAATTTTTTAACTTATAAAGTACTGATTATGTTGTGATAGATGGAATGGATGTGTGTGCATGCTTGGTTTTACCTAATTTTAGGGTAGCATACACCTGAAAACCTTAACACAAAGCATAAAATGCACATTAGGAAAACAGGGCATGGAGAGATGATTGATATTTAACACTCTTCTTGCTGCTTCCAACACCTTCCCATTTGCAGCAATCTTCACCTGCAAAGTTGTTAGGCTTTCTTTATCATTAATAAGTGCTTCTCTCTTCAGTTCTATGCATGTTGAATAATTTGAAAATATGCAGGAAAAAGCATCACTTAAATTGTAGAAGAACATATATTTGCTTTGTCATTTGATTTGTTCGGTTTTTAATGCACATTAAACAGGGTTATTATGTATAAGTGGATCTTGTTAATAGATTGCGATTGTGATTAATATGATACAATTAAATGCAATCATACATTTGCAATTGTTCTATAATTGTGTCGTTTGCAATTGTTCTGTAATTGTGTTTTTGTTGCAAATTGCTAACTCCATCATTACTAAACTGGAATTGATAACACCCTATTCAAATCCCCTCATTTTGTCCATTTTGATTTCCTCTTTATATCCCTCTTTGAAAATGTCATTTGAATCTTTTATGCTTTTCCTCTCATGTCCAGGGAGGTTTCGGATGATTTTCTACTCTCTTATTTAGGTTAAATTCTTTTATCAATCCATCAAGATTTTCTACTCTCTTATTTAGGTTAAATTCTTTTATCAATCCATCAAGATTTTCTACTCTCTTATTTAGGTTAAATTCTTTTATCAATCCATCAAGATTTTCTACTCTCTTATTTAGGTTAAATTATTGTTACAAGCTTAAGATATAGTGTTGAGTATTGTTGCCATATTAAAGGTACATTCCAGGTGGTAAGTAATATATTCAATATGACGATTAGATCATTGTTAACCATCTCAGATATAGGTAACGGTAGATCATTGTATTACAAGCTCAGATATAATGTAAGTAGTAATTGCATATATGATCTGGCGATTAGATCGAGTACTTACTACCAACTAACATTGGTCATTTTGCAGTTGTCACAATTTATTAATTCTTTATATATTTTTTTCATATTTAATAATGAACATTTTAACAATATAAATTTTTGTATATATGATTATATATGTTGGCATTTGTTATGATCAAATAATTTCTTATAGAGAATTTATAATAGTGTTCAATCCATTATACCTGTAAAAATACATAATAATCAATTAATACATTTCAAATAAATTATAAAATAAAGAAAAACTTAATTCTCCTGCCAAAAGGCAACCTGTCAATTCTCGGGCGGGACTCATGCCCTCAGCACGATAAGGTCTTTAACAGGAAGAGGTGCATACCACAGACCAAGACTACCACAATTTCCTAACCACCAAATTTGCATGCCATAAGAAAAACTAATTTCACAGCTTTCCCTAGACTAAGTCAGCAAACTGAAGATAGATTATTTAGTCCCATCCCATTGACTCCTGCTGCTTCCAAAAAACTCTTTCTTCCTTAAAGTACAAAAGCTACCCCACAAAAACCTGCAACGAAACCAGCTGGCAATACTGATATACAGATCTGGGACTAGAGAATTATTATCATCCTGTGTTATCTTCTTCACCACTGCCATCAAAGTGCTGCCCTGCGGTCTCTGTTTGTCTCCATGCATAGCTCTAGAGGAAAACCCACATAGAAATGGATTGCCCTCATAAAACATCGAAGAAAGGCATTCAATGTTCTTGAAGCTGAATTTCCGAGGGATCTTTCCTGATAAGTTGTTGTATGGAACAATCTAAATAAACTTGCGAAATGTTAAAGAAGACAAACTTGAGGAACTGTTCCCGGTGAATGTTGTAGAGACAGATCAAATGACTCCAACAATGTATTAAATTTCCTATCTTCTCTGGTATAGTTCCACTAATATGATCCTGTGATAAATTCAAAGTCGCAATGCTTTTAGGCCTTGTTATCTCATTCCAGGAAATTTTCGCCTTTCAAGATTATTCTTTCTGAAAGACAATAGCATTCAATTAATGCGAATATATAGTTAAATTCATACTTCTCCCTTTTGTTACAACCAATTTATTTTGATCCTTGAAGTAGGCCAACGGGTACTGGCAAGCGTATTTCATCACTGCTGTTTCCATTAGATTAAGGCACTCAAATTACCTAAACAGCTAGGAATGAGACCCTGAAAAAGTTGTTGTGGGAAAGATCTAAGAAATTAAGATGTTGAAGATTGCCAGAGCTGTTTGGAATATGTCCATCCAGCAAATGTTGATCGAAGCGGAGTATGAAAATGGATGATACTGTTACGGCCTATCCATGAGGGAAACTTCTCCTGAGCAGTCTGTTACTCCAAGATCAATGCTTTTTAATACTGAAACAGTTTTGCATTGAAGGATGAATTCCCAACTAGAGTTGTTGTGCTCAAAAAACAACATTCCAAGTGAAACTTAATGACCAAAGTGATTCTTGGGGATGGGCTTCTTTGACAAACGGTTGTTTGACGCATCCAAAACCTCACAAAATTGTGAACTTTCCCCAACCAATCAATGAGTTTCGCCACGAAGTTCATTGTTCCTTCACATTTAAAACTAGCAAAATTCATTAATTACTATGGATGATGGGATCGTACCATTTAATATTTTCAGAGAAGATTGCAAATCTTCTAGGACTTGGCATTAGTTCCCCGAATAATTGAGGGAATAGACCCTGAAAATGGAATATTTGTTTCTGAAAGTATACCTGTTGTTCGCATTGGTTCGACCCAAAAGTGGAAGAAGCCCTGCAAATCCATAAAAAACTAAGTCAATTATTTCTAACTTTGGGAACTGCCAGTTTGGGAGGAAGCTTCCCTTGATGTAGTTATTAGAAAGTTCTAAGGCAAGAAGTTGAGAGATTAACTGAAAACCTTCCTCAGGTTATGTGTCAAATATTCCAGACATATTGAGTGTTACTGTTTCGAGTTTGCTATTGAACCTGAAGCCACGTAGGGAACAAAGGACCAAGTTTTACAATTTTGCAGATCAATTTCTTTCAACCTAAGGGCAGGAAATCCATCCATGAGCTCACATTAAACACCAAAGACCTGTCTGGTTTCAGTTGAAAAGCACCAAAATTTCTATCTGGCCGAGATTCATTTCAGATGAGCTTCTGTAATAACACCTTCCAAGAATCTGCCAATAAGACTTATAGTTCTTCTTAGCTCTTGAGAGCTGGCCAGAAGCTTTTTCGGGGATGCTTCCATTCATCTTATTTGAATGAAGAACAATAATTTTAAGGATGATAAATTTCCAATAGTTGATGGAATGAACCCAAAAAGAGTACTAAGCCAAGATCAAGATATTGTAAGGTTCTTTAGACCCCCAATTGAACCAGGGCAATTGGGCCAGTAAACTGATTAGAATTCTAGATCAAGTGTCAATACCAATAACGCACAGTAAGGGCAAACAGCAGACACTGCTAAAATATCAGACAATTTTCACACTAAGCTTTGCCTGTTTTGCTGAAAGTATTAGTTACTTCAACTTGCAAAAGAAACTTCCCCAGCTGAGCTTGGAATAGGAGCCTTCAATAAATTTAAGCTCAAATAATCAAGGTCTTCAGAAGACGCAACATTTGGTAAACTCGCTAAGAAACTGGAACCACTAAAAGCGAATTACGAGCATAAGAGATCGAGTTTTGGTAAGGCTTCAAGATTAAACAACCAATTGGGTATTGATGAATTGAAAAGAATTTTTTGAAAATTATCAAGGGACCTTAAGCGAAGTGAAATTAAACAACAGGCAAAGAGTAAAAAAGAAATGATCTTTGAAGTTCACAACCAGGTTTAAACGCGAATTCCAACAAGGAAGAGAATTTGTTTATGACATTTAGCCAAATCACCTCGTGGCTGATAATACGAAGCCAATTCCCAAATCCAGGTGTTTAAGAAAGGACAGACCAGATAGCCATTTGTGCGGTTTTCTAGATTCAATTCCAGTTAGCCACAAAGATATACGGAAAATCCAATAAATATCAAGATATTGCAATTTAACAAAATTCCCAAGATTAGAGGTACCTTCACAGGTAAATGATGAGTAAGAGAGATTAAATATTTCAAATTTCTTGAGCTGTCCAAGAATAATCTGGAATTGCATTCCTTCAAAATTGTTTAAGCTCAAATCCAAGGTAATTAAATACATCCAAATTGAATCAATGAGGAATTGAAACTTTACCTCCGCCAAACATAACTTTCTGTTAATTTGCTATTTCGTTATCTGTTAAACAAATAAGCATCAAGAATTTGCGAAATTGAAATTTGGGTTTCGAAGATCAAAGCTTTTGATTACGCGTCCTGGTTTGTGTTGTCGCATCCAATTCCTTACCCATTTTGCAGCAATCATCACCAACCCATTGAAGATAACCTATTAGAGGGATCTTTTAGACCATTTTGAAAGCCAAGCAAAAGAAGTGCTTCTCTATCTGATAGTCTATGCATTTTGACAATGATTCTCCCATTGCAGAGAATAAAACTGTTGAAATGAGATAAAATAACAGAGAAGATAGAGGGGAAACTTGAAATAAGTTTGAAAACAAAAGTTTCTTTCCAATTCCATGACTTCAAATTAATGGTTGTAGTAATGAAAATTTACTTTGTACCTTTTATACTTGATCAATATAAAACTACTTCGATTCCTTAAAATAGGCATTATGATGAAGAAATGCTCCATTTTTTTTAATCTTGCAACAGAGTTATATTGCTTATGAATGCTTTTCGTTCCTGAACATCGCAACCAAGTGCCAAAAAGCGCGTGTAATGCGTTTAATAGCAAGGAAACTGACAAGTCCCAAAAGCGCGTGCATTTTAATGCGTTAATGCAAGGAAAAAATTTACCTTAAGATCGGTTCATAGCTTCACTCAGTTAGCACCAAAACCAATAAGAATAGAATTTTTTATTAAAAACGAAGGTTATTTTTGACCATACACGGGAGAAAAAAAAAGATAAATCCGAAACACTTTTTTAA